AAACTTAACTAGTTCTGCAACTAAGGATTGATTAATCAGTTTATTATTTTTTTTTTTTATTAATTGATTAATAATCAGATAGCCAAAGGGTCCATAAAGAAGATATTTTACTAAATTAAACCAGTTTAAACTAAAATTTTCCACTTGAGGAGTTCTAGATAGAGTACACTGACAAACAATTTATTTCTAAATCTTAAATGCACAGTTTATCACAGTATTTCACAATTTTGGTATAATTGCTGCTCAAGGTTGCTCTGTCAGCTAAAGGCATTTTTTAGAGTCTCTATAGTCCAGTTAACAATTAATCGATCACTAAATTAGTTGACAATTATTTCAGTAATCGATTAATAAAGATGAATTGTTTCAGCCCTAAACTCAGCTTAACTTTATTTATAAAGCTCTTTGAAACGGCCACAACTGCCACAAAGTGCTGCACACATCAGGTAAAATTAAAATAGTATAAAAACAACATAGAAGTTTAAAGGAATAAAACAAATATAATAAAATGTATTATTCAAAACAAGTAAAACCAGACTAACTTTACTTCAGAATAAGCAAAGTTAAATGAAAGATTAAACTTTTTGTCTTACACACATAATTACTGATAAATCGGAAATCCTGATAATTCAGAAAGTTGTAAAACCTGGGATTATATTCTGAGGATCGGGGATAAGAAAGCAAATAACAGCTTAAACAATGAAATTCTGCAAATGTCATCCTTTTTGCTAAAAAAAAAACGATACAAACAAATGTCGGAGTATTCTTAGACTAGTACTTTAAAACATCGCTAGCAATCGATACACATGAAGAATGCGCAGGTTATAACTTCAAGAAGGTGGAATATTTAACAAGAAACTGCAGCCTGTGCATCGTTGATGCTCAGGTTTGTGAACGCATCAGAAGATGAGCCTCTCCTCTGATGGTTCTTAGATCATGTCACCTGAAGCTGCGTATGACATACACAAATACAATTTGTCTGAGGATACAGCCTTGAGGAACACCCTCTTAAAATCAAGTTTGTTTCTATAAACAAAAAAATAATAATTTCCTTGACTAATTTAATCAGTTTGCAGTTAATTCAATTGTCAGTTGTGTTATTGATGGATAAACAAAGATCAGCTCCGACCAATCAGAGACATCTTTAATCAGACAGGATATTTCCTTTAACTTCCCTCATCCTTATCCAGTTTTGCAGCATAAAAACATCAAAATAAACTTTCCTTTTTAGGAACTGAATAGATAAAACTCATCCTTTTTCTGCTGAAACTCTTTTCTTCATTCTGCCCACCTTTCCATCCATTCCTCTTTAATATCCCAGATTGTTGACTGTCGTCTCTCATGGCTGCTTCTCTGACTCTGTATATGGTCATAAAATCTCAGCTGAACATTTCAACAGAAACCAGCCACCGACACTAACATTCTTCCACAACAGGAAGGTTATTTAGTTGAGAAGTAAAGTCTCATATCTGAGCATCAGCATGTGAGCTTAGTGTGATTATCCAAGAGCAAAGCATTAATATTTAAATACTCTAGATGCTAAACTCCTTTGCCAGCCTGTCAAACAGATGCAGAAACTGGCTGCAGGATTTTTTCTGCATCGTCTTGCTTTATTCTGCAATGCTGGCTGATAAAAATCCTAAGACTCAGTTCTCTTTCCTTATCAAACTTGGAATAACGCCCCTGTTAAATTCCCTCTTTTCATATGACTCCACCACAGTTTAACTTTGATTATTCACACCTAAAACAAAATGCATTTAAGGAAAAGTCACATTCAGAATACAAACTTCTGAAAGTTCTTTAAGTATAGAAATTATCACATACTTTTCAATAAATAAGTGTTTTTTTTTTTAAATTAAGAGTAATTTCATTAGAATGTGCTTTACTGGAGACCTCCATGTTGGTTAAAGAGTACTACTGCCACCTACCGGTTTGTGATGTCACTGTGTGGTATCGGCTGTTGAGCAAGTCCCAGTGCTGTATCTGGCGTTTGTCACAATGGGCTATTACCCATGATGGGGATGAGCAGTGCACTATGCAGAGCAGAGAGTAACGGATTTTTTTTCTCTGGCCAGATGTTCGATGGCAAATTCTCCCTGTTCAAGTTGGCAATCCAACAACGAACCTTTAGTGGATCATAAATTGGAAAGGTGAAATAACATTTTTTTTCCCACTTTTACCGATGAAAGACAATGAAGGTCTTCAATGGGGATCCCCGACCCCTATGGGGTCCACGCAGGTACTGCATGGGGGTTGCAAAAGTTTTGGTTGTAGACTTTTTTTTGTTATATATTCCCCTCTGCAATTTTTTCCACTAATTGAAATGTCTTTAAATAAACATTACTTGAATTCAACACACTGTAGTAAACAGATAAATGGAAGCAGAAGATGTCTCTCAGTCATCAATGCACACATTCAGTGACACACAGGAGCTCTTTCAAGCTGGGCACCGTTTCATTCACAACACCTGTCCCATCAACCAGGAATCAGAAATACTTTAATAATGCCAAAAATGCAAAATTACTTTCATTGCATGACTCCATCTGAAATAGAGTGACTATAAGACCAGTTTGGTATAACACAATTTCATACAATATATATAATTAGGGGGTCCTCGCTCCATCTCACCGTCAGTTTGGGGTCCTTAGCCTGGAAAACATTGAAGACCCCTTTATGACAACATCCAATTGTCAGTTTAACTATAGCTCTTGTGAATATCAATGATGAAGTCCTCTGGAAATCTTAAGTAATGGTTGTTGTTTGCAGATGTGTCTAGTTGTTCCCATTGATTTAGCTTGGAGAATGGCGCCCGCCTTACTGCACCGTGACGTCACTGCCGGAAGATGTCAGGAGTGAGGCGTTACTATATTTGGGAAAAAATTGCCATTCCCGGATTTAGTGATCATGATGAAAAATGTTAGTTTTTTACCGATTAACGCTAAATTAATAAAATCACTGCAAACATATTAGTATTAGGTATAGATAATAATCCATAGATTATTCCTTTCTGACCGGACTTTTAATTTAGATACAACACAGATGGCAAAAACTTCAAATTATGTTTGTATCATCAACTAAATGAATTATATAGTCTCTAATTTCTTCAAAAACAGAAGATATGTATGTAATGTTTTGCATGGTATGATAAAACCAACAGATTGTTGATTCAAATCTCCAAAAATAAACTTTATATAGCCTGAAATGCTAATTATGAAGAGAGGGTTATGTAGTGGAACACAAAGCACTGTGATTGTTCTAAAGGATACATTTTCTCTGCAAATGATGTGCAGTGTGTTTATGTACTTTGATAAAGTGAACAAAGGTTAAGCTGAAGCTTGTTCCCAGACATTAGAATCACCTCAAGAAGACGTTAGGAACCAGAGAAGGTCAGACCTCCATGCCTTTACCTCCCTCTGCATCTCGCTTTCTCCGCTCAAAGCGTTCACCCGTTCCCTCCTCATCTCTGCAGGGCTTAGATTCCCTATCGGAGATGCTAATTACCGCCACGTGTGCCGCCTTCACGCCCCCGAGTCACACCCCGTGGTTCTGGCGTCGTCACAAATGACGTGGGATTCTTGACCGAAGCCAGTTAGTCATGTGTCTGTGCGTTTGAGAAGGATTTGTCAGGTCAGCCGAGCAAACGGCTTATTTTCCATGTTGGACAGATCTGCCGCCGGTTTAGTGTTAAATGATGTGGGTAGGGGGTCTTGCAGACAGCAGTCAAGACATGTATTTGTGCTAACCTTGATAAACTGAAGCAGTGTGCCCTAGTTTATGTTCAGATAACGCTGTAGAGCAAAGCTGTCTTTATTTGAACCATTACTTTACTTTTTGTCTGGTCTAAACTACACATTGGGAGCTATCTGAATAACTGAGCTGTTGATCTGTTTGTGTTTTTCATTAGTAGAGATGTTTTTTCTTGCAGCAAAGCAGAAAGTGATTTATTTCCCTTCCTGTAGGTTGAGGTTTTTGCAGATCCACCAAGATTTATTGTGGAGATGCAATTTTTTTTTTCTTGTAAATCAGAACAATATTCTGGAGATTTATCTTTAAAATAAAACTTTTTTTTCACAAACAGCAACCAGAGAGTTTAATGTTATAATCTTAATAAAATATGTTCAAGTTGAGTATTAAAAACATATCAGGAGCTCTTTGTCTTTTTTCCCAGCATGCTTCACTTACTGGGTTCCGTAAAAATTCAAAAAATATCCACTGGACTTGGTTTTCAAGATTTGAAATGTCTGGATCACTGCGGATCCAGACATTTCAATTGAGAAAGCTTCCTGGAGAGGTGGCGAAACGTCTTCAAATCTTGAAAACCAAGTCCAGTGGATATTTTTTGAATTTTTACGGAATGACTTTGACCTGGATGACTGAGAACCTTCATCAGCACTTCACTTACTGGGTTTTTACTTCCTTATTATCCTCTTATTGTTTCTCACTGCTGTGAAGAAACTGTTGGTTTTCATTACTTGCTGCTTATTTTTTTAGAAAATGTTTTCTGTTTTTTCTAAAACTCTAGAAATTGTGTCAACCCCCTGCTGCCTCTTAATTCCATGAGATTTTTATGCATATTTGCAATAATCTGTGATATTGGAGCCAGAGGATCTTTGTTCTGTTTGGAAATGTGCTGATTTATGACTGGGTCAGCAGGTTTTGTGATGTTCTGTTGAAGGTGAATTAAATGCACCTGTAATAATGCAGGTCCCAGTTGTATATGCCTTCTTCTGCAAACAAGCAGCACCATCTGTTTCATGTTGAAGGAAAACATTGACTCAGCATACCTAGATAACCCTAAGTCAGAACTGTTTGAGCGTTGAGCCTGTTTCCTTTTCTTTATTACTTTCATTGGTGACAAAAATTGTTCTTTTGTATTTTTTGTTTTTGTCTTTTTTTCTCTATAGAGTTAAATAAATCTATAGGTTTTTTTGTTATTTATTTGACAGGCATGCTTAGTTAAAGTTGATTCCAGAAATGTAATCCTCTTTTTTTGTTTCTTATAGGTGATATCACACAGAAGGGCTATGAAAAGAAGCGATCCAAGCTGATTGGAGCCTATTTCCCTCAAACACAAGGTAAAACTGACTTTTTATTTAATCTCTCCCAGTATCTAACCACTTGTTGCTTCCAATGAGTCACTTTATTCCCCTAAATTACATGTGATCAAAAGCACAGTAGAGCACCACATGATTTGGTAACCGTGGCAATATTTGTTGCTGTGTCCCGTTGCTAATATGAGCCTAGCTTGGTGACACCAATGCTGTTGTTAAATGAGTTGATGAGAAGTGAGTATATTGAAAAAGCATATTCAAAATTACCCCTTCTTGGTTTCTCTGTTGCTTTATGTCACACCTGAATTCCTTTAGTTCATAAACACATTTTAGCACAACAGAAGATTTCAATTATGATATTTATTGGGATTAAAAGCTTTACAATAAAACTCGATCAATAAAACTATAAATAATAAATATTGTTTGCTTTTTGTCGTATTGTTTCAACCCCACCCATTAGAGGATCCCAGCATGATCTGCCTATTTTAGGTTATTTTTCATCATCTCTTCGACTAGATAACTCCCTTTTATTAGAACTCAGTAAATAATTAAGATCATTTTTTAAAATGAACCAGTCATTAGGATTTAAAGGGCTTCAATGGAAAATCTTTTCTGATAAAATGTCAGGATGTGCTTTTTGCCTTGATCAAAAGTCTGCAAAAACAACAACAACAAAAAACAAAAACATATCTATATATATATATATATATATATATATATATATATATATATATATATATATATATATATATATATATATATATATATATATATATATATATATATATATATATATATATATATCTATATATAGAAAACATAGGGCTTTTAATTCAAAAAGTCAGGTCTGAGAGCTGAACTAAATTTATAATTAAGAAAAAACGCTGCAATGTCCATTAAGATAAACAAACCCTGGCTAATGGTCAGGTAAAGGTTAAGTGATTAAGTAGGATTTGAAACTTTTATACAGTTCTTCTTCTTTTTATTGATAAAAAGAATTTAACCCACAGCTCCACTTTCCCTGGAAAACTCAACATATTACTGTATTACCACTTAATTACTTAATCTACTTTATACAGACACAGTAGCTCATGTGTTATCGATGTGACCAGCAGGGGGGGCTGCAGCCCTCTTACCTTACTTTCAAAGTCACTGAACGTTAATCTTGCATAAATGTCGGTTGTTAAACCCGATGTACAGCGTAAATATGGAAGTTAGACTTCATGTTTTAAAATAACACCTGAAATCAAATTGAATCGATGTAAAACAAAAAAAAGAACTAATCAGTTAATTCAGTCAATGCCAGACCTCCATCTCAATGTGGGAACATTTGTACCACTTCCAGGGCATCACTGCTTTATTTTGGCTGCTTTTCATGGCTGTTCATGCATCAATGTATCTTGTTAACTGGTTCTAATGGCTACCAGGAATCAAGAATTTAACCATAAAGACCAAAGTTTGACTCAGCTTTATGTAACTTATCTCATCGGTTGATTACGGCATAATTACTTTGGCATTTTGTAGCAGCAATGAACAAATTTTTCTTGTGTAACGTCACAGTAGTCCACCATTTGCATCAGGTATCTTTGGTATCAGCAGCTTTTTTTGCATTGCACCTCTAAGATCAATTAACGGATATCTTGGAATGGCTTCGACTTGCAGCAACAGGTTATTCAAATGAGGGATGCCATCCCTACAGGAAAGCAGGTCAAGGTTTTTCAGAATAGAACTAGTTGGTACAGATTCCTTGGATTATTCTGTGAAGGAAGAACCAAAGGAATTGGAGTAATCTTAACTACTGTAATCGAAGCACAAGATGGTAACCAAACAAGAAATGCCTGTTTGGTGTGAAGAGTGGGAAAGTTTTGGGGATTTTTCATGTGTTGTCTCTATGGCACCAAACTGCCCCTTTCATTTTACAACTTTTTCTTGTTTTTGAAAATGCCAAATGCCACCTTTCCCTTTTCAATGGGACTTAGACTTCCTCATTGTATGTTGACCACTGTTCTGCAGCTGAAAGTTGCTTAATCTGTCAGGCCTTTCATATTTAGGCTAGCACAGAAAGGAAAGTTAGGGGGAAAAACTAGTCTAATCTTAGCTCAACTAAATGAGAAGTGTTAAAGCTTCATAAGCAGATTTAATTGGTTTATTTGAAGTATTATGGGTACTTTTTTCTACATCTTAAAATTGTAGCAAAAGATTTTTGCAGCAGGATGTTTTTAATTACTTTTGCTGCACAATTACTCTTGTGGTGAAAATTTCAATATGAGTAGAGTGAAAATGACTGAGGGGTTTCTAAAGTCTTTCAGAAACCTTTGGACGCTATAAATTAAGATCACTTTATCACTTAACTACCGTGCAGAATGTAAAGACGTTGAAGATTTCCTATGAATGTTGCATATAATAAGCAGATTTGGATTAATGACCTTTTGTTCCCTAAAGTTACGATATGAAGTACAAAAGTATCACGTCTCTTCTTAGGCCTGTGATTTTCTTCCTTGCATTACAGAAACGCTCAGACTTTTTTAGACATGTAAAAACACAATTTCCTGTTTCTTTTAAAAAGACTTAATTCCATGGAAGTTTAGCTGCAAGTTTACATAGCCTTTACATAGCTATGGTTATCTGTTATTCTTTTTCAGCCATTAAACTCGTTTGTTCAAATTTCCTGATAAGAAACTCAAAATTTTTCTTTTTAATCTCCTGAGTGTTTTATTAAAGATCTGAGTTGTACTAACTGAAACAACCTTCTGTGATACCTAGATTCCCGAAAGGTGATTTAATACAAATGATGGTGATAAATAATTGTACTTAGACAGATTTTAATCTATATTCCAATAAATAAAGTTTAGTGCGTCTTTGTTTAAAATAAGCAGAAAATCGATTTCTATGCAGAACAAAACGTATTTTGAAATCTTTTGACTTGGATCTCTTGTTACCTCAATAAAAGGAATGAACATACATGTCTAAGCGTATTAAGATTTTTTACATAGAAACATAGAAAGTACAGCATCATAAATATTGAAGCATAAAGTTCTTCTGAAACCTCTTGGATTTTTTTCCTGCAAAGATATAAACAATATCCTCTTCATGCAAATAAAGAACAGTTACATTAGTGGTTAAACCTCTGGTAACTCAATAATATGCACACTAAAGGCGGAGGACCAAATTCAGGTAAACCTCCATTCAAATCTAACTTTATTTTATTACCTAAGCAAATAACTCTGGACTCAGAGCCTAATTCTAACCCGTCCACCTCAACATTTAGCTTTACTTCGCTCCGATGTTTACAGCTAAAGCTCATGTTGAAAAACATCAACAGAATCTCATCATTTGCACAAAACGAGGATTAGACCTTAAAATTTAAAAGCAACCACACTCTTAGACTGTTTGCATAGAGCCTGTCTTTGAACACCACAAATGGCTTCAGTGACTACTTTTTTCCTTAGGAATAAGTTTTCACAGTTAATGTTAGGACTCATTTCCTATAGTTACACAGGCACTGAATGCTCCCTTTTGTTGCCTAAAACCACAGAAATGGCCTTGGATGTCACTCTTAAGCTTGAAAATGAACTATAACATAAATATGGACTTTACAATAAAACTCCAATAACCCACTCAGCAGTTACATGGAAGGAAAAGCATTGCTGTGAGATTCACTGTCAGATCAGACATCTGACCTCCTGCCAATAAGAACCTCATGCTCAAAGGTGTCAAAGGCTTTCCTCTAGTCTTGAAAATAAGACCTCTCCTACAAACCTCCTCTAATTTAGGTCCAACATTTAAAGAAATCCCCCCCGATATTTTAAGATGCATCATAGAATGAACTGACTGGATGGTCATTGCTCTGCCCTTGTTCAGTATGATGTGGTTGGTTTTCTCATTGTGAGTAAAAATATGTCATAATTGTATGTACTTTCATCTAGAGCAGAGGTCACGGATCAGCGGACCGCGGTCCAGATCCAGACCCACCTGCTGGCTAATTCGGACACAACCTGATTTAAAACATGTATAAACTACCGGATGTTGTTGGACGACAGTGTCGAACTTCACTTGCGCCGCTTCTCCTGTCAATATGGTAAAGTCCTCGAGAGCGTCCGGCACCAGGCTACAGGTGATGCAAATTAGTCAATGAGCTGCTGTCAGTCTGGGTTGCTGCTGCGAGTCTCTTTTAGACACAGCAGGCAAACCTGCGGTAAGCTGGGTGATGGGAATGAAGGAGAAGACAATTAAAAAAAAGAGAGCAGAGAAAGTGTGGACTGCTGAAAGAACTGCGGTGAACTGGTAAAAGAAAAGTGAAATGGTGTGCTCGAAGATGACGCTGCACATTTAGAGTATGTTTGGCTCAACCTGCTGCTGTGAAGCAGGATTCTCCAGATAAATATCGATCCAATTTGATATGTGCTTCAGAATGGCTTTGTTGCCATTTAAACCCAGGTTTAAAGCCTTGCAGGGCAGCATAAAGCCCACTGCTCTCATTAAGCCAGAAAAAAGAAAAGAGAAAAAAAAAAAACAACAACAAATGATCAGTTCAGGTGTTTTATTAAATATATGAATCAGGAAATTGTATTGAATTATATTCCAACGATTGTTGTTCTCTACTTAAAAAAACAGTTTAGTTTTTAAAATGGAAAATTGTTTTATTCTGTTAAAACATTTTTTATTCAAAAATCCAATGTATAACATGGATGCATAAAAACCTCATGTTAAAAACCTCGAGTTAAATTCTGTTTAAAGTAACAGATTAAAAATGTCTCCGGACCTTTACTGGTTGATGGTTTTCTTTTCTCGGACCCCGCTGATTTTTAATGGGTTACCCCTGATCTAGATGATGTGAGCGCCACTTAGTTTGTGCTCTAATTCTCAGTCTTTATCCCATTACATGTCCGAAAAGCTGCTAAGCTATTAGCACCAGTTTAGCAACCATTCCAAGTGGCTTTCGGCATTCCAACATTCTTTTTCCAGATAACATAAATATACAATTTAGACTTAGACATAGACTCAACTTTATCCCTTGGGATTAC